GTGTGTTTTTTGTGTGTTGTGTGTGTGTGTGTGTGTGTGTGTGTGTGTGTGTGTGTGTGTGTGTGTGTGTGTGTGTGTGTGTGTGTGTGTGTGTGTGTGTGTGTGTGTGTGTGTGTGTGTGTGTGTGTGTGTGTGTGTGTGTGTGTGTGTTTTGTTGTGTGTGTGTGTGTGTGTGTGTGTGTGTGTGTGTGTGTGTGTGTGTGTGTGTGTGTGTGTGTGTGTGTGTGTGTGTGTGTGTGTGTGTGTGTGTGTGTGTGTGTGTGTGTGTGTGTGTGTGTGTGTGTGTGTGTGTTTGTCAAGGTATACATGCGAAATACTTTCATAGTCATGGAGTTCATCTTGAACTAGCTGTACACAATTACAAGATAGATGCACGTATACTCACGACACCTCACCAGGTCCCCAAGAATGCATTCGGAATTTGCCGCAAGCGACCCCTTCATCCAAGTCCAAAGACCCTTGGGTAAAAGGGTAGCATATGGGATTGAGGGGGCGACAAAGAGAAGCAAGAGGACAAAAAGCAGTGCTACCCTTCGTGAAAGTGCCGGAACCCGGCCAAATGGGGGCGGGGGGTCACAAGAAAAGCAAATGCATATTTTGGCGGCAAAAAGACGTAACATTACCGTAGAAAATCCTTTTTGGCATGGTTTTAAAGGGTGCAAGGGCAACCGAAACAGGGCTCCTTTTTTGGAGAACAGCCACTGCGTTGCAGAGCAGACTTCGATGGAAGAAGAGCAATAGGAAATCCGAGGCTTGGAGGGAGGCAGTGTCGAAATCACTGACCTCTCTGCCACTCTGCATGGCTAGCGGCTGGTTTGACCCCTTTGGGCCGTCTTGAGCAATTTTGTATGTGATCTTAGTGTGCAGAAGTCAGGCATGTGTGTTTCTGGCTGTGCTTTGACTCATCGCCCAAGAAAGCAAACACTCACCGCCTTGGTCGCTCAACTCCCAAGCATGATACACTGCAGACAAGCAGTGCCCGCTCCAACAGGGACACCCACAAGCCCAAAATCAGGTTGGAATCCTCAAGGAAAGCATCGTTCATCCACAGCTGGCTGAGTTTGCTCGCCACAACCTCTGATACGTTGATATGCTGGTCACGACCCGGGGTTCAACTCCAAACGTTGCCTTAGTTGGAGGAACTGCATACTCTACCCAAAATGGAAAACAAACCACGGTGGTACGCAAGCGTATGTAAACTCAGCCTTGAGATTGTCACCATGCCGATGTGTTGAGTCCTCGTTTAGCTACTCTTGTGTGTTCAATCCATGTTTGTTCCAACGAACTGCCACACAGCACGTCAATCCTGCGTGTGGAGCTTGCTATACAACATAGAATACCATGTCTACCACCCATTTATCAAAAAGCGCACATTCTGTTGCCAAATCTAGGAGATACAGTAGAGCTCAGCTTTCGACCAGTGAAACAAGGCCCCAGTTCTCATTTCACCAACCACCCCTGCAATCCCGCCTTGCCCGTGAGGGGCCGAGGGCCCAGTCCCTGGAAGCAGAAGAAATCCCAAAATGGTGCCGGCAGAAAGTTACCTGTCTATCAGAAGTAGCGCCAATCGTCGTCCACTCTGGAAAATCTGTTCGCGCCAAAAGGCTTGGGCTGTGGGAAGCATATAGTGGATGTCTCCCTTCGGCCATTCCTTGACACAAGGCAATGTATGTTTCTTCAATGTCCTCAGAGTCAATGTCCATCCATTGCTAATGAACCAGAGGTCAACAGCCAGGAAACCGTGGTGTGGCTGTGTTCGTTCAATGCCCTCGGGTACATGTCCATCCATTGCTAATGAACCAGAGGTCAACAGCCAGGAAACCGTGGTGTGGCTGTGTTCGTTCAATGCCCTCCGGTACATGTCCATCCATTGCTAATGAACCAAAGGTCAACAACAGCCAGGAAAACCGTGGTGTGGCTGTGTTCGTTCAATGCCCTCGGGTACATGTCCATCCATTGCTAATGAACCAGAGGTCAACAGCCAGGAAACCGTGGTGTGGCTGTGTTCGTTCAATGCCTTCGGGTACATGTCCATCCATTGCTAATGAACCAGAGGTCAACAGCCAGGAAACCGTGGTGTGGCTGTGTTCGTTCAATGCCCTCGGGTACATGTCCATCCATTGCTAATGAACCAGAGGTCAACAGCCAGGAAACCGTGGTGTGGCTGTGTTCGTTCAATGCCCTCGGGTACATGTCCATCCATTGCTAATGAACCACAACAGCCAGGAAACCGTGGTGTGGCTGTGTTCGTTCAATGCCCTCGGGTACATGTCCATCCATTGCTAATGAACCAGAGGTCAACAGCCAGGAAACCGTGGTGTGGCTGTGTTCGTTCAATGCCCTCGGGTACATGTCCATCCATTGCTAATGAACCACAACAGCCAGGAAACCGTGGTGTGGCTGTGTTCGTTCAATGCCCTCGGGTACATGTCCATCCATTGCTAATGAACCAGAGGTCAACAGCCAGGAAACCGTGGTGTGGCTGTGTTCGTTCAATGCCCTCGGGTACATGTCCATCCATTGCTAATGAACCAAAGGTCAACAGCCAGGAAACCGTGGTGTGGCTGTGTTCGTTCAATGCCCTCGGGTACGTTCAATGCCCTCGGGTACATGTCCATCCATTGCCAATGAGCCAGAGGTCAACAGCCAGGAAACCGTGGAAAAAACAAGAAACAAAACAAAAAAAATATGTTCCCAAACGCACAAAGGAGAGGGAGAGAGAGAGAGAGAGAGAGAGAGAGAGAGAGAGAGAGAGAGAGGAAGAGAGAGAGAGAGAGAGAGAGGAAGAGAGAGAGAGAGAGAGACTCCAACAAAACCTTGCCCCACAAGGTTGAAAACCTCCAAAGCAGACTTCCTTCAACTGAATCTGAAGGTCGCAACAAATGCATGAATGGCGGAATTGGGCCTATTGACTCTCACTCGCATGATATGGACGGTGTTATGGATAAATCGTAGCGAAGGCGTCTCCTGAGGCCCTTCACTCATGCAAGCACTGACAACCAATGCAGAACACTAGCGATGGCGGCTCAAGCTTCAGACCTGCACACTGGCTGAACTCCCTTCGTTGGGCTTGCTAGGAATCGTTTTCCATACTTATCACAAAGTCTTACAAAATTGACAACTATCCCTGGATATCGCAATCTCTGTAAGCAGGAATCTTGAACATAACATGCAACAACATGTATGAATCAAGATGCGCAGAGGTTCTCCCTGGCTTTGACGCTGGCCTATTTTCCTTGTCAGGTGGTCTCCCTGTCCCCCTCCTGCACTCGATGATCAATACCATTTCTGTGATCAGTATGTTTGCTTGCAAAGTTCGGTCATCAGATCGGAAGTTTGCTTACGAAGTTGCCAAGGATCAGCATCATGAAGTTGGAGCAGCCTTGAAATAGGGGATCCCCAAACTAAGAACTTTCGAGGATGGCTGGAACTTGTTTCGCCCCCAGGTCAGCCTTCCATAATGTGTGCGGGTACTGCGCTGGCTGAAAAGTAGGATCTGCGCGTCATCGTGCATGCGGCTTGTTCTTCGTCCTGGTCCCCCTGATCATTCTTGAACAATTGTGTGCCAAAGACGTCGCGCACTTCTGAAAACCAACGCGAAGGAACGAACACATAGGGAGAACATTGCAGATTGCCCGCGTCGCTGGGAGGGGAATGGATCCTTTCCTTCGCTCCTTCGAGCATTCCAGAAACCCAGATTCATTTCTGGCCATGCCATGCCATCCCCAGGTGCATGCCATCCGGATCGCAGCCTTGGAAAAGGGGCAGCCCACACGGCGTCGCTCACCAGGTTCTGGCAGGCCAAAGCTAAACGAGAAGAACCCACAACTGGGGTGACCTTTTTTCTTGAAACGCTATCCACCGCAGGGCTCCTGGCTCCAAGTCAAGTGCAATGAAGAATTGGAGAACGCCTCAAGTTGGTTTGACCAGCCGAAGCCTTACCCGAGGAAGCCACTCTTGCTTCAAATGTGGGGCGCCCAATCTGGAAATGTCCGATATGTGTTTGTAAATGTCACGTGGGGGGGAGGCTTCCTGCCGTGCAAAAGCTGCAGAGCAAACCTGGACTGCTTTCCAATCTTAATTTGGCATCCCCTAACAGTGCTGGCTTCCCAGCATCCCCCTTATCCCGACATCCCTGCTGGATAAGAGGAGAAATGAGCGGCAGGATGAGGACATGTCATGTCTGTTGCGAAAGCTGTGTTCGAAAAGGCACCAACAGGAACAAAAAACTGGCAGCAAAAACCCAACATGCTTGAAGTGTTGGCCCGGCTCTACAACCCAAATGGGTTGAGCGACCTGGTTTCCGCAAACACCGGACTTTGGACTCTAAAGCTTGGCAAGCTTGACATCGCAGTGCCTTTGTCCCTTCCAGGTCCTTGATCTTCGCGCATGTGCGTCTCAAAATTAGTCAAACCTCCCAGGGTGGCTGATATGCTTTTTAGTGTCCCTTGAAACCATCCATCGCAAGCGCTTCGCATTTTGAGGTAGACCCAGGGACGTGTCGCAAGGTTCGTATTGACCTTCAAGAAAACAAGCTTCACAAACAAAACCACTGGCAAAACAATGAAGCTGTTAGTCCTGCTCTGCAACAAGAGTATGATGTTTTCCAACCCAGCAGGTAAGGAAACACCAGGCAAAGGCCAAACGCCTTGCGGTTTCCACATTGACGATATGTTTGTGCAAATGACGGCCACCTGAGCAATACGTGTGGGAACGTTTCAGCATCCGCACGAAGTGAAGTATCTACTGAGTATGAATGCAACGGATCGGTACTAGAATTAGACCTGATGCCACTCTGTAGCATCAGCATAGAGTGACCAGTAGCAATGCGGGTGTTGACACCGCAAAAACGAAATTCGGTCCTGCCCCCACCCCCGCACCCCCCGTACTGGTCAGACTCGCGCCTCTGGGCACGCTGGCATCGTGACGGCCGTTGGGCGAGGGCGGAAAGTCGTCAAAGCATTCCCTGGGCTCGCGCAGCTTTGGCCGAAGCGACTCAGCGACAGCTGGGAGTGCTTTAAATGGTTTGGACTCTTCTCTGAAAGGAAAACGGAGGGAAAGCAAGAAGAAACCACAAGAATTCTAGAAGCAAACCGAAACAAAACACCATGGATCCCCTGCTATTTGGAAGCATCTCGAACCATTTGATACAGGTCTTTGGGAGAAGCTCTGGAGCCACAACTTCAGCCACTGCAGTGAGGGATGGTAAGGATTCCCGCGGAAGTACCAGCAATTGGGTCGGAAGGAGCCTCACCCGCGCTTTTCCAACGGAAAGCCGAGCAAAGAAAGGAGGCCGACCAGAGCAAAATTCTCTCCCAAACTGACCAAATATGCATTGATATGCATCCCTGCGTCGCTTCCGTTAACTTCTTTTTCCTGGTTCTTTATGTGGGACAAACCTGCCCGCTTGGCCCCAGGCGCATCCACGCTCTCGAACTCCTACGGACAGGACATCCAGGAGGCATTTCGGCAGTCAACACGAATGAACCTTTTTCAGACGCTTCAAGATCCCAAGCAAACTGCTGAGAAAATTTGAAACTTCAGGATCCCTGCCAAGAGAAAATTGCTCAGGGCTTCAACAAGATCCCGAGAAAATGTTTGATGCTTTTTGTTCCTGCCCAGATTACACCGAGGGACAGAGGCCAGGTTTTCACGTCCCATTGAATCCTTCCAGCTGCGTTGCATCCTGGTGACCCTCATACATGCGCCTTGGTGTCCGAGCTGAGAATGCCGGAAACATCCCGTGAAAGGTGTCCATGTGTTCTGAAAACACTCCTAGCACTCCTAGAAGCTGGAAACCGACCACGAGGTGTGCCAATCCACACACACGCACGGGAAACCAAACTGTTCCCTTAGCTTGATCCTCTTGCACGGTCAAAGCGGAACAGTTCTAAACATCCCTACACAATCAACAAGGCAACCTAACATTCCACTCTCAGACCATAGGCTCCGGGGTGCTGGAGCGAGTTGGCAAGCTGTCTGCAACCCAAATGGCTGGAACAATGCGGGGCTCGACCTGCTAGCAGGCAGTGGGAGTCGCGGGCGGCAAACACGTGCGGCTCCTGCCCATTGCGAAGGTCCAAGTAGGTGCGAACATCGAGCTCTCGGATAAGACAAAGATCAGCGGGTGTGGCAGTGACCCAGTGACCTCACAGCAATGGCCCCAGGGCACGCGGCGCAGCACCTGTTCTTGTGAAACTTGTTGGACAAAGTCAGCGGCACATTCGCTCCCTGTGATTGTCTGCCATGAACAAATGTCTGTGCCCCCGAAAAGGTGGCCTCAAGCACCGGGCAAAGCCTCCTCTCCGCCCAGCCACAGGATCCTCTGACAGTAAGCCAACAAACAGAAGCTTGTCAGCATGTTGGAAAGCCCCAGCTTTGTGACAGACTGTCTTGTCTACGGGGGAAGAAGCAGTACGACTGTGGAAAACCGGAAGAGTTGTCGGCTACGCTGTGGAAAGTGAAGCAAAAGTGCAAAGATTCAAGATCTACGTTCAGCTTTTCCTTGACAGCTTTGAAAGAAGCCTTCACAATTCAGAGCCAGCAAATCTGAAAACGAGACATGCCCACATCCGGAATTTCCCGATTTGTCCACCAACAAAGTTGGGGGTGATTCTTTTCAGCTCCTTTCACACCTTGGCCCCCGTGCCCGTGCGGTAGAGCAGGCCCTGCTTCAGGTGCCCCCCCTGCCAAAGGGCTTCTCTTTTCAGCCACCCTTTTCCTTTTGAAGGTCCACCTCCGGGCTCCACCCAAATAAGATCTCCGGATCCTTGGTTCTTTGGATGCGCCGTGTCTGGCTTGCGTATGTGCGGGTATGACTGTGTGTGTGTGTGTGTGTCTAACGTTTAACAGCTAGAGCAAAATATGATGGTTGCTACGCGCGTACTAGGCTTTGAAGCAAACGGCCTTTGGCAATCAAAAGTAGTCGTTTCACTCATAACCTGATAGAAAATTCGGCTCTGTGCAATCTGTCTCTCTGCAACTGGGCCACAAAGGAAAAGAGACTTCATTCTATGAGAACCCCGACCTAGGACCAGCCAAAGGGTGGCCCAGGAAAAGTGCTTCACCCAAAGTGCAGACTTCCCAACCAGGAACTCGCCCCAAGATCAACCAAAGTATTAATCAGTCTAGGCTTCAATTTTCCCGAAGTGCAGTACTGTCTGCCAACTCCAAGAATCGGCCTAGCCAAACCCTAAAGCAAGGCTTCCAGCATCTCATGGCAAAGAACCAAACGGCATCGACCCATGTCCTGCAGCGCGACAACATTGCATCCAAAAATACCCAACCCCCAAAACGAATGGCCCCCAAAACCTAGCTCTCGCCGGCCTCACAGCGGTAGACAGCCGAAGGATCCTTGGCTGGAGGCACGCCAAGTGGGAGAAGCAAATGGAGGCAAGCAATCTCAAGATGGAGCACAAGTGCCCCTGAAAGACACCCTCCAAAAGAAAGACTCCTTTATGAATGGAAGTTGTTTGGGGGTCCAGTTTGGTTTTGTAATGCCAGTGTGGGTGAAGAGCGGCCACAAAAGCACCATCATGCCTTTCGCGTTTTGCTGACCAAAACCCCAAAAATGAAACGAACAAACAAAATACTACATGTCAGGAAGCAACATGAATGGTCGCTAGGAACAGGAGCCTGCCTCTCAAAGCCTTGCCATCGATGGCCGCAAGCCCCAAGATTGCTGAACAGAAGTACGGCCATGTGTTCTCCCCCAAACCCAAAACAAGGAAATGCGAGATCCATCCTGATGGCCGAGTGCTTAAAATCACATCAGAATCCTTCCATGTGTTCAATATCCGCCAAGGCCAGGAGAGGAAGAAGGCGCAAGTGCTGCCGAGCTTACGACCAAAAACAACCACGGAATAGCACATCACCATCTCAAAGGTTCTTGCGCTCGAAGGCGAGGCAGACCAGCGGTGACTCAGACCCGTCGGAGCGTTTCTTTCATGGAGGAAGCCCCCAAGTGCCACAGCTTGCCACTTGTGACTAGCGCACCGGCTCAAATGAATTTGAAGTAGCCCTTGAAATGGGCTAGCTCTTTGTGCTTGTGTTTGGGCAGCTCACACGGAAGCAAGCAATAGAGACGCCCCCCTTTAAAAACGAAAACCTGTGGCTTGGGCCCGCGCCGGCCCGGCAAAGTCGCGGAAGTTGGCCACCTCAGTGACAGCTAAGCTCAAAACAGGTAGCCAGGAGACAAACAAACAGGCCACATGGAAATGTGTGATCCAAAAACATCATACTCAAGGGCGGCTAGTGTCATGACTGCTGTAAGAGTGTACCCCTGCAGTTGTGCCCCAATTGACTGGGACGTCAACCCCGCTGTTGTGCAACTTTCCAAATATGGGTGAATATGTGGCCCGCATCATGCATCCATGCAGCCATACGTCCATGCATCCATGCATTCATGCATCCATGGTCCATCCATCCATCCATCCATCCATGCATCCGTCCGTCCGTCCGTTCATACCTCTCTTTGTCCCTCTCTTTCTCTCTCTCTCTCTCTCTCTCTCTCCCCCTCTCCCTCCCTCCCTCCCTCTGAATGAATATTGTATGTGTATATATATATATATGGTACAGCGTTGCCAGCCCCCCCCCCCCCCAATGGTCATGGGTCAGACAAGTACCCCCCCCCTGTGGTTGTGGTCCCGTGGTTGGGTTGTGGTGGTTTAGGGTTGGTTTAGAGTTGGCTTAGAATTGGTTTAGGGTTGGTTTATGTTGATTTAGGGTTGGTTTAGGGTGGTTTAGGCTTAGAGGTTTACGGTTTGGGGTTTGGTTTAGGGTTTACGGTTTGGGGTTTGGTTTAGGGTTTGGTTTAGGGTGTATTTAGGGTTGGTTTAGGGTTAGTTTAGGGTTGGTTTATGGTTGGTTGCGGGTTTTGTCCTGGGGGTGGGGGTGCCGGGGTGTCGGGGTGCGAGTTTAGGGGGTCGGGGTGAGGGTGGACTGTAGGTGCCAGGCTTGCATTTATAAAGGGGTGGGGATGTGCCGGCCCAGCGCGATATTCTAGGGTGGAAGTTGCCTTTGTTTTACTTGTAGCTACGATGAAGCATCATGTGCGGGCCAACAAAGTCGGGACGGGGCCCGATTCATTTGCCCCAGACATCCAACTATCAGTGTCACTCGGGTTGGGGGGGGGGGGGAGTCCTGGAAAACCCATACCATCTGAGGGGGGAGGGGGTGGTTGCAACGCGGAACACGGGACCATATATATATATATGTACGCATGTATACAAACACAGCACGCTATTGTAGAGTAACTACTGGATGCACGGATGAATGGAGGCATGCCTGCATGCATGCATGGATGCACGGATGCACGGACAAATGGATGCACGGATGAATGGATGCAGGATGCACGGATGCATGGATGCATGGAGGCATCGATGCATGAAGGCATGAATGCACGGATGCATGGATGTATGGACGCATGGATGGAAGGATGGAAGGATAAGGTGGATAAGATGGATAAGATGGACAAGATGGATACGATGGAGAAGGTGAAGATGGATAAGATGGACTAGATGGAGAAGATGGAGAAGATGGAGAAGATGGGCCAAAAAAAAAATGGACAAGATGGAGAAGATGAAAAAGATGGAGTTGATGACATAGATAAGATGGATAATGTGGATAAGATGGAGGAGATTGAGAACATGGAGAAGATGAACAATATAAAGACAATGATAAAGATGGAGAAGATGGAGATCATGGCGAAGATGGAGAATGTGGAGAAGATGGAAAAGATGCATAAGAGGAGTAAGATGGATAAGAAGGAGAAGATGGATAAGATGGATAAGATGGATAAGAGGGATAAGAGGGAACAGACAAATAGGATGGATGAGAGGGATAAGAGGGATAAGAGGGATAAGATGTAATTGAAAAATAAATAAAAATAAAATGAATAGGATAGATAAAATGGGTAAGATAGATGACAATTGAGCAAAGGTAAGAACAATATGATAGATAGGACAGATAAGACAGAGAGAAGACCCATAAGACAGGCAGTTAGACTGGATAAACTGATAGACAGACAAACAGCAAGATGCGGGCTTAGGAACAAATATATTAGACTCTTCAGGTGGGGAAAGTTTTGCCCTCTTAGAACTGTGTTGCAAGACATGCTAGCTGGTCAGTTTGATCAGGTTTGTGGTTGCATTTTGTGTGGCCTGTGCAGGACGGTCAATTCTCACATTCTTTTACGACATAGTCTGATAAAGGCTTACAAGCATAAAATTCACCGCTGTGATCTTTCACTTGAAGGATTCTAGGCGGAAGGGTGTCAACGATTGTGCGGCGGCCCAAGAGAAATATAGATCTAGCTATAGATATTAATAGATGGAGGTACAGGGTTGTAGATAGATAAATAGATGGATAATGAGATACGATAGATACGATAGATAAGATAGGTAAGATAGGTAAAGATAGTGAAGAGAGCATAGAGAGGATGGAGAGGATAGAGAGGATGAGGATAGATAGGATAGATTGGATACATCGGATACATAGGATTGGCAGAGTATAGGATAGGTGGATAGATAGGAAAGGATAGAAAAGGACAGGAACGAATGGGACCGGATAGGAAAGGAAAGGATAGATAGATTAGACAGATAGGTTAGATAGAAATGATAGACTCTATAGATAAGATGGATTAGATACATAGATTCAACAGATTGGATCTGATGTGATTTGACGTGTGTTGTGTTGACTTGATTTGGCTTAGATGGATAGATACATAGATACATAGATATATGCATGGGTGGGTGGGTGGGTGGGTGGGTGGGTGGGTGGGGGTGGGGTGGGGTGGGGTGGGGTGGGGTGGGGTGGGGTGGGGTGGGGTGGGGTGGGGTGGGGGTGGGGTGGGGTGGGGTGGGTGGGGTGGGGTGGGGTGGGTGGGGTGGGGTGGGGTGGGGTGGGGTGGGGTGGGGTGGGGTGGGGTGGGGTGGGGTGGGGTGGGGTGGGGGTGGGGTGGGGTGGGGTTGGGGTTGGGGGTTTGGGTTTGGGTTTGGGTGGGGTTGGGGTTGGGGTTGGGGTTGGGGTTGGGGTTGGGGTTGGGGTTGGGGTTGGGGTTGGGGTTGGGGTTGGGGTTGGGGTTGGGGTTGGGGTTGGGGTTGGGGTTGGGGTTGGGGTTGGGGTTGGGGTTGGGGTTGGGGTTGGGGTTGGGGTTGGGGTTGGGGTTGGGGTGGGGTGGGGTGGGGTGGGGGAAAAAATAGTAAAAGGAGAATTCAAAGAATTATTCTTTCTACTATTTTTTCTCCAACAGCAACACAACAAACAGAAAACAAAATCCAGAACAACAAGCAAACAAAATAAATAATCACAACCAGCAACAAAAATATTTAATCACAGCATGCAACATTAAATAATTCAAACAAGCATACCAACAAAACAGCAACACTCTAAATCATCAAAGAACCCAAACTCAAAAACACACATCAACAAAAAACAAAGCAACATACCAACAAAAAATATCACAAGAGTATCAAACAAAACAAAAACAAACAGCCAAAGCACGAAAAAATTGAAGAAGCATACCAAGTCTAAACAACGCACTTTGAAAGAGATAAGCAAATTATAATAATTCAATCTTTACAAACGATAAATATATTACAATTATAACATATAATATTTTACATGTGATAATCATAGTATGGTTTTAATCAAAGTCATTAGTATTTAAATATTCCTTTGTAATCTTTGGTATTTGTTTAAAGTTCTGTTTATTATTTTTAAATGGATATTTTCTATCAGCAAAATCATAAATGCAAAAACCTATGCTCCAGTTTCCTAAAACACTTTTAATATCATTTATCACATCACCATACATTAATTTACCTATTATATTGTTCTTCTGTTCATCCTGAATATAATCACATATTTTATCAATTATGATTTTCAATTCTTGGTTTCTTTGTTTTATGTAGTTTAAAAATGTTTCCTTGCAATCATTTTCAATTTTATTATTTGATAAATCATACTCATCAATAAATTTAAATATCATTTTATTATTAAATTCTTCAATTGGTCTTGTTGTTCCAGTTTTGCCACCATAACTAACTTCATATGATTGTTCGTAGTAATATTTAATATCATTATAAAATTTTAAAATATATGTTTCGTTATCTTGCAGTATATATTTTTTCACTTTTTCATATGTAGGAAATGTATTTAACTTTATAAAACAATATGTTCTTAATGATGAGTCATTATTTAGAAATGTATTTTCTTCAAATTTCAATTTGTATTTATCATAAATACATTGTCTCAATGTTGAATGTAAATTACTTTTATGTAAAACTTGCTTTGCATTTCTTAATAAAAAACATTTCTCGCATTCAACATAATTAAAATCACAAATGTTTTTAACAATCGGAATAGGTAAATTTAACTTAGTTAGTCTAGTTTTTTCATTTATTAGTTTACATTTACAACTACTGATAATGTCATTAACTTTTATTTTATTCAAAAAGTCATTAATAATTTCTTCTTGCTCTTTTTTAGTAAATTCAACCATTTCTATTATAATATATTAAGTCAATATTTCTTTAAGTCGTTTTCAAAGAACTTATTTTATAATGGCCGTAAGCAAGTGAGTTTACACTATCTATCCAATATTTTTTGTTTTCATAACTACTAAGAGCAATTTTTTTAGTTGTTATACTAAAAATTCTGTGGTTTTTACTTCTAATACTATTAAATGACTTATGTATAACCTCATTAGTTTTTAAAACCGTCTCAAACTCTTCATATTTCATTTGACGTCTTACTGTGCCTTTTGCTATTCCCTTACATTTCTTATATTTTTTATCATCACCATAAACTGAGTAAGCATAGCATTTAGGACGAAGAGCTATAAACCCTGTTATTATTTTACTTTTTAATTCATCCTTAAATTTACCTAATACTTTCTTGTTATTATCATCATAACATTTATGTTCCTTAGGATAATCTGAAAAATCTAATTCTTTTTTAATTGTATTAAGGTCTTCATAAATGTCATTGGTTTTAGTATGAAATACAAAACTATCAGTATCAGTATATACCATTTTAATATTATCTCCATATTTAGGCTTCATAACGTCATAATAAAATTTATACATGTGTTGCTTACTCAAATCTAAAATACTCATCCCAATAAATATAGGTTTGTCTAGTTTCAACTTTGTTT